CTATTAAAGTTATTTAGAAAATACGACAACTTTAAAGGGCTCTACTTTTTAAAGCAGGCAACTAACCATCACCAAATTTTGCTTAAAAGTAGAATAGCATGTGGATATGATGTGGAATAAAAATTACTGTTGTGTCTGTATGGCTTCCATAAACATTTTTCCAATAAAGATGACGTATATTTCGTGTCTTCAGAAACACATAATTAGACTTTTTGTTGTGCCATAACACATTACTGGTTGCAGATACAAAGATGAAAGTGCAATATTTGAAATCTCCGCATACAAATACATCTTTGTGCAAATTTTGATGGATATACCATGTACGGGTATGAAGTTACAGGGCAAAATGTAAAATAGGGTAATGGTGAATTTAGCATTGGCCACGCCCACTTTTTTGCTTTTCGGGCCATATTTCGAATTGCGATATCTCAAAAACTATTGCAGCTACGATGCTCAAATTTTGAACTTAAACTATTCCCACACAATGTTAACTGCCTGCGAAATATAAAGAAATTTGGAGAGGGCGGGTGTCAAATCAGTTTTTTTTTGTGTTGAAATGGCATGGAATTACTCCGTTCTGCCACAGCAAAGAAGATTTAACAGGGCCCACAAGAAAACAAGACGCCTGGTTGAACGTGTAATAGGTATTTGGAAGAGACGATTTCATGTCTTACATTCAGAAATAAGGCAAGCTCTTGTCAGGCAGATAAAAAATTTTGATGGGGTAACCGCTAGGGATTTTATGGCACAAACATATTTTGCATAAACATATTTTGAAGATGTGATACAGTCCGTTTGAATGTGTCTACTTTGTTTACATTTTCTAAATTATGAACTTTATAAATGAAGTTTTGACATGTATATATTATATTCCCTTGCTTCGATCAATGTTAATTTAAAAGAAGTGGTCATAGCAAAATCAGGCTTTGCCAGAAACTACAGGCTCAAGGCTCAAATGTACAGCATGCATGCGCAGAATGGACTGTACCGCATCTTTAACTATTTACAGTAATTTCAGGGTGAAACTTAAAAAGTGAGTATCATGCAACTGATCCTTTGTATGTTTTCATAATTCTTTGTAAAGTTCATAATCATATTCACAAACCATTTGTAAACAATGCATTTGAATGGCTTCTTTTACTTCAGGGGCCAGTCAAAGATTTTGTTTACAATCCAGCTTGTGAATTTCAACATGAACTTTTGAACTTCACAACAAAGTTGGGAACAAAAATTGCAACATTAAGGGAAAAGTTATGTGAAATCAACTGTATATAACCAATCATTATCAGATTAATTTATTTTAATAATCAACTTCCATTTGAATAGAGTTGGGATTTTTTAACCTCAAAGCTGGTAAATCAAAACAAAAATAAAATGCGATGATCTTGTCAAAAAATGTATACAGGAGAAAGCACAGGCAAATTGCAACCCATACAAACAGCGGCTACAGCCATTTTGTGGGATGCCAAGTGCACAAAGGATCTCTTTGCACAATACTCACTCCTTAAACGAATTTGTTCAATGTGGTATTATCCAGTCACAGTTAACTTTAATTATTAGAATATTGGAGAAAGAGGGCATTGAAACGGCTCATTATTTTTGGCAGCATTTGCTTTTTTCTCAAGGAGGTGTATCTGCAGCTTTAATTTTTGCTGTTGTAAAAGAAGATTTTCCTTCTCGATTGCTGCCTTCTCTTTCTCTAATTGAAGGACTTCAACATGAAGCTCTTGGACATTGAGGCGCATCTCGCCTTGAGACGTTTCCTCATTGGTTGTGGTGTCTCGAGTGGGGAATGATCTATAATTTGATATGATCCACTGCATGATGACGACTCACCTGCACTACCTAACATAGGATAACAAAAATTCAATTTGTATGAAATATGCATTTTATTAAAAAAGTATAAATAAATTAAACCATGTTTACACTACGCTTGATTTTTGGTACAACACAGATAAAACTAGTTATAGTAGATGCTCGGACTACATATTTTACAAAGTTTAAGCACAGGCAGATAAAAATGGTACGGAGGGCCAGTTTTATCTGTGGTTTAAGATAGGTTTCAAGGGTTCCATTTATTGATTTTTAACTCTAAATCAGGCCAAAATGACAGGCACCAGTGCCATTATAAACAGGTTAAATAATGGGCCATTCCGTTTAATATAGGCACTCCCCTATTGAGGGGTCTGGAAATCCTATGGGAGGGGAGGGGGCTTTTACCTTAAAATTACCTAGAGGGCAGCTTAAGAAATTTTCCAAAAAATAGCAAAAATTAGGTGTTTTAGTGATATCCAAGGGGGTAAAAACGATATCCTAAAGGGGTATAAAGAAATCCATGAGGTAACTTCCAAAAATCGCATCCAAGGGGGTTGTAAAATTTTTATATCGTAAGGTGATTATGAAGGGACCCCTCAATAGGGGGGGATGCCTATATTAAATGGAATGGCCCAATATAGGTTTGCATGGTCTTTCATGCTTTATATATTAAATTTGTATATTATATTATTAAAGAGGTCCATTAGATTTTACCATTAATTTGTTCAACTTCAATTTGTTCATCAACTTCGTCTTCGAATCCAGGTGGGTGGTTTGAAATAAATGACTCTGTTTAATAATAGCAATATGAAGATAGAACATGTTAAGTATACATATTTTAAAATATATGAAACCATTTGTCACGTATGAACTTGCACATTTATATAGACTATATATTCGTCCTTTCTAATCTTTAGCTGAAGAATAAACACATTTTTATTGTGGCGAAACAAAGTTTGCTTTTGTTAGTCAGTATAAATTAGCACCTCATTTTTGAATTTGTAATTTAACCCATTGAGTCGCATTGCACCCTGATGCACCCTACTTTAGTATTTTACTCTGTCTAACGTCAGACGATTTTACTCGGCAAGGGGAGAGCTCTGGCGCTTAATGGGTTAATATTCAGCGATCATGGCAGCCAACTTGTTTGGCGGGAAAATTTCAATTCAATATCTGAGCAAAATAGTTGAATTTACCGAGTTTAGTATCAATGTTTCAATACGCCATTGACAAACTGAATTATTTTATTTCATTGGAAAGTACACAGATGAAAGGGGTTACTATAAAATTACCTGAATCAGATGGCACACCAGACTCAAAACCTCCTTCTATTCCCGAAAAGGAAGGCTCATCACTCAAAAGACTGATAATTTTCTCTGTGGTAGTGGTTGGTGGTTTTGCTGCAGGACCTCCACCAGTTTTTCTTTGAAACTTTCCTACAACTTTTGCTTTTTAGCATTTGTTATTGTGCTACTAAATTGGCCACGTAATGTGTCCATATTTTTTTTCGACTAAATCAACCAGCAGACTGCATTCTGCTGCAGTGAAATTCTGTTTTCTTTTCGTCCCTTTCTCATTACTTTTTGCGGGGCAGACATTTTGAATTTTTGTACACACTGTATATTCATGTAGTTCAAAAAAGTTAGATAGGCAAGTACTGTATGACCTAGCATCCAAATGCACATTTTGTAGTGTTTAACTACATAAAAAATCTTTATATCTGATAACAACAACATCACATACAACAATCATTATTATGAAGATAGTATTGAAAAACATGAAATTGATAAACCACCATTGGCTCTGTGTACCCAACCCAGAATACCAGATTCAATGTTGTTGTGGATAACCAACCAGGTATACCAGATTCAGTAGATACACAACCCATTACCCTGAATACCAGATTCCGCACCCCACTAATTAAGTTTAAATGTGATTGACCCGGGATATTTCTACTTGTGCAAGAGTAGGATTTAACTGGTAGTTACCTTTATCATATTCCCATCCCGAGTTAGGCATATTTAAATTTCAACTACTTTTCCTTTGGATTCAACAAACCAGGTTAAGTTTCATAATGTATAAAATGGAGTGTTTCTGGGAGAAGTATAGTGGAATAACAAATATATAGAAAACATATTCTTGTTCCAGTTGTGACCATCATATAGCCTGTATAGCAGTCGCTTTATTTTTTAATGAAATTTTCATATGCGGTCAGTGAGAAGTTTAGTCAAAATTTGCAACTAAAAATCCTTAATTCAAAAATCCTCAAAACCTGAAAAAATAAGCGACTGCTATGCAGGCTATTTATTATGTAAAGTACAATAAAAAAATTTTAGCTACATTATATATAAATATTACTATTGATGATACAGTACTAGCAGTAGACTGCAGAGTATGGCAAGTGCACACACAAGAATTGTTTTGTCTGATAAATTTGCATACTTGAATATCAAAGTATATTGATGTCAATACAACTACTTTAATAGTACACATTGCACGCTTGAATATAAAATTGCAGACAGGATTACACACTTGCACACCTAAATTTTAGTGATTAGCACACCCTAATAGAAAACTGCTATTCAGTGCATACTCTGCAGTCTGGCAATACTGCAATAGTATATATAAAATATACAGTATTAAATTCTATTACACTATAATTTAATTGTCCAACAGATGAATTGGCTTCGCTTCTCTTCATTGACTTATGTTAGCAAAGTAAAGATTCTAACAAGTTTATACAATGTGCGTAGCGTCATACACAGACAATATACCACATAGTGACATACATTTTCCTAGGATGTCCTCCTAGTCTCCCACAGGCGATCCAAAGTCCAAACAAATTCATTTGCTTGGGCAGTTTTAAAGTCCAAAATGACAAACCAACAATGAATGTTTGTATTTGTAGGCAAAATGTATAGTAATTGTTTTATCGCAGGTCAAGCTCCTAGCTCCTTTTACAAATTGCAATTATTTTGTTCGCCATTTTGGAATAAACGAGACCACGATCAAGTTCAAATTGCCTTGTCAGCGGTCGTTCATCAGCCTTAATTTATGTTAATTTATGTTAACCACCCCACGCAAGCGTTAACTATCCGACTAACTACGTTTTGTTACGCAATGCAGTTAAGTCATGCAGTTAAGTAATTACAGTTAAGGATTTAACTACAGTAGTTAGCACTAACTACGTTTTTATACAACCGGCCCCTGATCACAGGTGAGGGTAGAGCAATCCAGCTTTAATTTATGTATGCAGGGGGTGATGGGAAGTAAGGTATCATAGTGCTGATTATGCTGACAAATTTCAATATTTAAAAGTATGAGCTATCACGCCGTGTTTACACGGCCATCATTTTTATTTTTTCAGCATAATCAGCAATATGATACCTTACTCCAATGCACGTATAAACTAAAAGCTGGAATTGTCTTTTCTGTGGTGCCTAATAGCTTATGTTACCAATTATTTTTTTCTACAGTTTTGCAATTCTGCACGACGGATGTGAATTGTGCCATGTTAACTGCTCGATGAAACCAAATGGTTGTTACAGTCAAAATATAATATGGATATATTACATGGCATGTAATAGGATGGGAGCTTCTGGATTAACAGAAACGTATTCCTATTAAAACAAGAATGCTTATTTACAAGATTGTATGGATATATTACATCTAATGCAATGGGATGTTTCCAATCTACCATAATTATGGATGTCAGGAGCATTGTATGTCATGATATTACAAATCTGTACATGTACAGCAACCTAACACGTTATTGGACATTATTATTTATTTAAAAAAATCATGGTTTCTGATTGGCTAACAGCCAACTGTGAAATTGTCATATCAACTCAATGGCTAACCAAATATGGATTTTTCACATTCATATTAGCAAAATGACGTCAAAGAGTCAATATGAAAAATATTTGGACGCGTTTGCGCCATATTACTATGACGACGAGAATCATATTGACTCGTTGACGCCATTAGATAGCTTAAGATCTACGACGTCGACGTCAGCTAGGACGCCAGGGCTATGCAGAGGACTGGGACTAGGATGTCGTCCTAATGTAGTCCCAGTCCTCTGCTTAGCCCTGACGTCCTAGCTGGCGTCGACGTCGTAGATCTTAAGCTATCTATTGATATGACGACGACGACGGCTGCCGAAGGACTCAGGAATTGTTTTTTTCTCAATACAAATAAAATACAAATGTTTGTTTTTAATTTTTTAAATAAATAATAAAACAATTATTGCATTCGCTTTTCGCACAATATGAAGAATTATCAAGCCCTCAGTTTGCTGTTATCAACCTCAGCCTTCGGCTTCGGTTGATAACGGCAAACTTCGGGCTTGATAATTCTTCATATCGTGCTCAACCTCATTCAATAATTGTTAAATAATGATGGCCAACAGTGGACACTACATGCTTATGAATACGATAAACTACATATTGGACAAAAAAACAATGGTAACACTTGTTTACCAAATGAAAACAAACAAAAGACCATCAATACTTGCAACAAACTTAACTTAATCGTACCAGTTAAAGGGTATGAGCAACAAAAAAATGTATTGCTTCATCTGAAAGAGCATGAAAAAATAAGCCGATTGGCCGTTTAATGCTCTATTTCATCTCATCTGGTTCCGAAGTTATACGCCAAAATGTGCAAAATATAAATTGCTGATTCAGCACAATGTGTGACGTCATAAGCTGGGTAAGTATGTTTCTTGAATAGTAAACTGAAGCATAGCTCAGTTATTATTGGCTCAAATCAAATGACATTTTGCATACAGATAGTACATGCATGATGAGACGCATGGGAAAATACTTCTGATTTTGTTGTCAAGGCAACACAGGCGTTCCCAGGCCCCTTACATTGATTTTGAATAACTAGTTGCATTTATCTATGTGTATGTCATTTTCGAATTATTATCATGCAAGTAAACTTTTGGCATGCATAGGTATGGAAAATGACCCTGGCATTGGCCGGTCACATGACCTCAAAATCTCCAGTATTTGAGGTGTTCAATTATGATAATTTATGCGTATAAGTACGTGATTCGGTTTTCGTTGTTCACACCTCATTCAGCAACATATCCCGTAATATTGATGACTTTTAAACATAACTTAATAAGTAATTAAACAAAACAAAACCGCTTCAGCGTTTGTTTTATATAAATCGTGTTTAAAGATGCGGTATCTGAGCATGTGCACAAAGGAGCCCTCTTTTTATTTACACACAGTTTATTTAGGTTTTTATTTCATTTTATGTTCTTGCAAAGCTTTAAGATTGTTGTGTCTTCATAATTTATTATACTCTAGAATCATGAAAGTGTAAATAGTTGTCGAATAAAATTCAATATTTTGGATACCGAAATGTAAACAAAGCCTTTGTTTCCATACGGACTGTACCGCATCTTTAATATGAGCAAATATTAAATTGTGATATTCGTATCACAATCTTTATTTGACCACGGTTAATAGACCTAGATTTGACTATAACGCTGCACGTTTCTTGAAATCAACGATGTGTAAACAACGCATGTGAGAAATGTATGTTGAACCGAAGCAAATACTCGTCTATACAAAATGTATAAAGACTTAATTTGGACCAAATTGTTTTGTGATGTATTGTCTTTCCCTAGTTCATGCTGTATCTCAAGCAAAATGTCAAAAATCTTATTTGCTCAATACTTTTATAGTCCTTCAAGAACTAATTATAAATTTGTCACTCCACTCTCGTTCCACCAAAATAATAATTATTCCCACATATATTGAATAATTACATTCAAAATCATTGACCAATCAGGTTGCAAAACAGACCAGCCGAAGCCAGAGCCTTTTTCGCTGACCATCCAACCGCGGAAGCAAAAAGCCCTGGGTACGAGGTTGACCACGTAAATTTATTACTGCAAAGTTTTCGATCCGTAAGCCCGGATCTTCATCAGTGCTAATAATATATGAATATATACAAAAAATTAAAATTTGTCCAAACGTTTAACTGGTCAAGGCTTCTTCAGGGAAATGTTTTAAATCACGTCCATTGAATATATATACTACTACAAATTTCTTCGTGACATTGATAATTTCGTATTCTGAAATATATGTACCGGTACAGTATATTTGCAAATGCCCCCTCCCCACCTACATCCCTGCGGTAGATCACTGGTACAATTATCTAGAAGTGGAAGGGTTTTTGTAGATGGAAATTTCGAGCAGAAGGTTAATTTTCGACATAACCAGAAGTAGCTGTGAAAAATGCAACAGCTATTAAGGCAGTGAATGAGCAGTGATATTGCGCTTCACGTGGTGAAGTTGCATGTTTTACCTGATGAGGCCAACCATAAACATTTTATTGACATTTCTCAGTAGAGATCAGCTTTTCGTAAATAGCAGAATATCAATAAATCATCAGACTCATTTGTCTACAAATTATTTTGTTTGCTTATAATTTAATCATTATCTGGTCAGTAGACGGTAGTCATGTTAATCATAGTTTTACACAAAGAACAGTTGAATAAAATATTAAAAACGTACATTATTCTGACATTGCAGCTACGGCTGACAAAAGACGAAAATGCCTTGATGCATTTGTTTATCGCAGAACACATGTAGCTCAGTAGCTCGCGAGTAATCCCACGTGACATGTTTGATCACGTGTGACAGTTACTCATAAACAACTTAATATACCATAGGTAGCCCAACAATCAGTGTTATTAATTCATTTCTGTTCAATAAAATCATACCACTACTTGGTCCCCGACTGCATTGTTTACGCGCGGTCAGATCATGTACGTATCCCTATTGTAATATATGCTATATTATATAGCATATATTACTATAGGGATACGTACATGATCTGACCGCACGTGAACAATGCAGTCGGGGACTAAGTAGTAGTATGATTTTATTGAACAGATATGAATTAATAACACTGATTGTTGGGCTACCTACGCTTATCCATATAAAACATGGCTGTGAAACCTAAAACCAACTATTATTTTTATTTGGCCTGTTTACTCCCATTACCTTGCTGAACACCTTCTTTATTTATATATTAATTAATATATAGTAATAAAATTACGCCCTTACGAAAAAAGTATATACTAGGTGGCCTATAGGTTCCTATAGAAATTGTTCCAATTCCCTATAGAAGCCTTTAGGCACCTATAGAGCTCTATAGACTTATAGGCATCCCTCTATAAGTCACCTATAGAAAACGTTCCAATTGCCTATAAAAACCTATAGGTTTCCTATAGAAACCTATAGGTTGGCCTATAGGCCAGACCTGTAGACTTTTTTTGTTATGGGGTGGTGTTTCCGCAAACAAAAAGTATTATATGTTTTATCGCAATGCAAACCTACAAAGAACTTATTACCTTAGATAATAACTGAATGATATGTTTATATAATTATTATAATAATCAAAGTGTCTAATAAGTATACAGCCGGCAGACAGCTATTTAGTAAACTGCCGGCTATATAATGAGTAAAAGTAAAATATAAAAACTTTTGTTTGTGCCTTACAGAGCTTGCCATTATAGCGTATAGGTGCTGCATGTGGAAGCGAAATGATATATGATATATGTCTTCGTTTCTTGATATATCTTTTTCTTAAAATTTTTTCAACTTTTTTTTTCAAAAGGTTAGGTCAAGGGTTAGGGTTAGGGTTAGAGAAGGGTTTCGGGTTATACAATCTCGTACCAAGAGCAATGCCTGTTTGCGGGCTAGGAAGGCATTGGCTCTGGGGAAATAGACAACCGGAACCCCTAAATTTAGGGGTTCCGGTTGTTTGTCGGCATGCACTATTGATAAACATTAAACCAATCACAGCACAGGAAAAATTCTATTTCCCCAAAGCCAATGCCATCTTAGCCCACAAACAGGCATTGCTCTTGGTACGAGATTGGGGGTTATAGGGATCGGTTTATCTTATAAAAATTCAACTAGTCACTATTTTGCCAGCAGTTTACGAAATAGCCGGCTGCCGGCTGTATAAACACTTCATATAATAATAGCCTACTGGTCAATTAGTACTTTTCGAAACATGACCAGTTGCTGGTCAAATAGTCAATTAAAGTTTCAAGAAAGTGGGAAAAAAATGGTATAATAGTGATTGTAGTGAAATCCAATGGATGGGGGTCCATATTACATAGGATGGCCCATTCTAATTAAGCGCCACACAAACAAGCAATTTTTCCTTGACAAGTTTCTTGTCAAGTTTATTTTCTCGTGTGCACAACAAACCAGGGTTGGTAGGCTTTCGCACATGCTCAAAGCCAAATGACCTTTAAAAAAAGGCCAATTACTCTACTAAATTAGGCCAAATTTCATTTTTTTTAAAAAAGCCAAATCTTATCAATATTTTGACCGACTTACATTGGTCAGGCTGAACAAACAATTTTTTGATCAATTTTTCCAAGATCAGTTTTACTACACATAGCTAAAAATGCACAGGTTGTTGCAAGTTGATATCGACAGGCGTGAACAATGTTGTGCAGCCAACTATGAACAAGTTGTCAGCCATGTTGTTCCAAGTTGTTACAGTTGAACAATGCTGTAACAACATATTGACAATACTGTTCATAGTGGGCAGCACAACCTTGTTCACGCCTGTCGATATCAACTTGCAACAAGTTGTTGATTTT